CCCACACACGCACCAACACACACACACCACCCCCGCACACGCACACACACCACCCCCACACACGCACCAACACACACACACCACACACGCACACACCCACGCACCACCCCCACACACGCACCAACACACACACACCACCCCCGCACACGCACACGCACCACCCCCACACACGCACCAACACACACACACCACCCCCGCACACGCACCACCCCCACACACGCACCAACACACACACACCACCCCCGCACACGCACACACACACGCACCACCCCCACACGCACCAACACACACACCAGTGGTCTACATCCCACCTGAGGTCTCCAACCTGCTGTTTCTACCTCTAAGTATCTTTTTTTAAAACTTCAGTGCACGGTTGTGTACCCAAGTTTTTAGCTGAGTTCTTTATGTGAGCTACCACAACTGACAGACGGGTGGTGTGGCCCGGGAAACGAACCTGGGCTGCAGGGGTGAGAGCGCCGAATCTTAGCCACCAGACCACCAGGGCTGGCTCTCTAAGTATCTTTCACAGTTTTCCTCCATCTCCACCGCCCAACACTCTTATCTCAGTTCAGTTCGGACAGCCTCTGTCCCGAAGTCTCTGTTTGCTTTAGCTTCTCTTCAATCTGTCCTCCACACGACAGCCACTGTCTTTTTAAAACCAATCACACCCCATCACTCCCCTGCTTAGATCTTTGAGTGGCATCCACCACCCTTTCCCCTTGTCCATCCTACTGCCATAACAACTTCCTGCTTCTGGAAGATGCCCAGCTTTTTCCTTCCCGCCTCAGGGTCTCACACATAATTGTTTCCTCCTTCTTCACTCCACCTCCTTCAGCTTAGACTCCAACCCTTCAGAAATTATCACCTCAGAGAGGCGGGAGCCCCGTCATTGTCACCACCACTGCTCATTCCCTTTTGGCATTTATCATCAATGCTAATTATGGACAGCTTTAAATTCCATAAGGACAGGGATGTGTCTATTTTCTCAGGATCTAGCATGTGGTTGGCATTCAACAAATGTCTGCTGAATGAACTGCCAAGCCCACTTCTTCATCTGTAAAATGCCAGAAATAAGACCCAACTTTCAGGGTGATCAGGAGTAACAAGATCACGAGAACAATTCCCATACCGGGCCCTCAGCACATACCAGTCGCTGTGGTTGCTACGCAGCTGTCACAGACGATTCCCTATCTCAGATATGCCCCCCCCATTTTACCAATGAGAAAACTGAGGCACAGAGCTTTTCAAGAATATGCCCACCACATGATTAGAAAGGGGTGGATGAGGATTTCTGGGCCCTCACTCCTGACTCTGGAGGGCGCCACGCACAGGCAGTGCTCAGTTAAGGTCCCAAGAGCTGTACCATCACCCAAGCGCCTGGGGAGGTTGCGAGAGGGGGAGGGCAGCTCCATTTTAGCTACAGGGCCACGCGACACTGGACAAGCACCCTCACACACACATTCCAGCTTCCTCCTGTGTCCCAAGGCTGCGAGAAGCACGTCTGTCTGCTGCGTGCTCGCCACTTCCGAGAAGGGCCAGCGCAGGCCGGGGATCCCCTGGTGGCCTCCCAGCAAGCAAGCAGCAGAGCCTTGCGAAGGGCCCAGAGTAATCCCAACCTAGTCCTAAAACTCAAAACGAGTCGCCTCGTGTCCAGATCAGAGCTGGTTTCTTCTGTTATGTCCCTGGATGGAGGTACCCCCCCCAGATGATAACCGCTCGGACAGGAACATACCAACATCAATTCAAGTCCACTTTCTTCATTGTTAAAGGGAAATACAAACAGCTCATTTTCACTGTGCATTTGTATAATATTTAACTATAAATTGCTCAAATTAGTTCTCATTTTAGGGAACGACAGTAAATTTCAAGTGCATATTAAACTGCAAAAATCTTCCCTTGTGCTTAAAGACGGTAATGTTGTCAAATTACTTGAGACATAAAATTTTAGAAGTTTAGGCAAGAAACATTATTAACGGTGTCATAAATAAGTATTATAACTTTATTAAAATGAAAAGACAATATTCAAAATAACGCAACAAAATGAATAGAATCCTTTGTCCAATACTGTACACATAATGCAGAAATCAGTGCATTTTTCTAAAGCATGTTTTAACCTTCATTTAGTTCATACTAAAATATAAGCTTTAAATAGCTCAAATAATATCATTCAGCAGTTTAAACTGTAAACAGCTTGTTTAATTAAGAGAACATTGTAGAAATGTACCTCTGTTAGTGAGCACCTTCTCTTCTGTGCTTATCTCTACAAGATAAATACATCGAAGCATGTGAAACTATGAACACCAGCTGTGTGTCTCATGGAAGCTAGGGGAAGCAGCCAGCTGTGAGAGTTGTACAAGCAGAAAGATGCCGACGTGACCTCTAGTATTAAGACATACTGCGCTACTGGTCAGAAGTGTTTTACTTAAAAAGCAAACAACCCCCAGGAAATACTGAATAGGAACCAGCAACACAAGGCCAGCTTGTGTTGTATTTGTTTATTAATACAGTCTAAAAAAAACAAAAACAAAAAACACAACACACATCCCCACACAGTAACTCTCAATCACATAGCTAATTGTTTCATTATTGCTTAAAACTGACATCCTAAACACTGGCAAATAGTCTGCTTTTCCATGTGATTCTAATGTGTCCCACTGTTTCTGTAAGGCACATACTACAATGGGCCATTTTAGTGGGTGGAACAAAGCAAGGATTGTAAGGAAAAATTGCTTACTAATTCTACTATCTTCTCCTTTTTCGAGATGGGAGACACGTACAGGTGAAAATACAGTTGCCAAATAAATTGCTATCCCTCCCCTCGACAACACAGAAAGCAAAACCTGGAAGTATTTAGGTCTTGGGACGAGTTTTACACTGGGTAGGTAGAGTCATGGTGAGGATGCACAGCCTGCCCTCACTGGAAAAGACTGATTGCAAAAATAAATGCAACAAAACAGGCCTAAGAGCCAGAAATCTTCAACCTTACTAAGCAAAAATATTTTGTTTTTATGATTCTGATCCAAACAATACTGTGTTTTCTTCCATTTGTTCAATTTTCAGTCTATCAGGAGTCATTCTCCAACTTGAGTTGGATATTAAGTTGAATATATATTACTCTAAGATAGTAACTAATTGGTTAACCTGCAACTATGGTCTATGGTTATACCACAAGTTTATATATAGGTATATAATGTCTGCATATATAAAAGTTTCCCCTCCTTCCCTCCCCACCATCACATCTTTAAATTATAGACTTGGAAAGACTTTTCTCCAACGCTAACGAAATCAGGGATCCTCAGCACAGCAGCACCTCACAACTGCTCTAAACCTTTCTCTTTAAGACAGAGTTCAACTACTTCATTCTGCAACCTGAAGCATTCTCCTGTGAACCTCCATCCAGCTGGAAAACTGCTTGAGAACCAACTGCTCTTACGGAACCTCTGCTGAACCATGATCCCAGAGTCTAAGGAGAAACCACGTAGGATAAATGTGTACGCTTCACATGCCCACCTAGATCCATTTTTGTTTGTGAGTCCAGCTTTTCCGTGGCTGACACTAAACTGCAGTCAGCAGACAATGGCTGGATTTGGGTGCTTGCATGTGTTTCTTCTGCTTCCCTAAAAAATTTTTCATATTTGTCCAGGTACGGTGGCCTCTCAGGCAGTAGGTAATAATGTGTTGAACTAACCTTCTTCCCATTTTCAATAATGGGCAGAATGCAAGGAATTTTATTGGCAGACCCTTCACTGTGCTGTCTTTGCAGAGCTTTGCTGCTGACATACTTAGGATCAGGGGCAAAGCTCTGGGTAGGGGGCATGACCCCATTGAGGTAAGACGGAAGGCTTTTAGGACTTGGTGTGCGGGAGTTACTCCGTGATAAAGGTTCTCTTGGTGGTACTTTGGGAGGCCTGTCTTCATCACTGTAGGTGCTAGAAGTAACCTCTGCTGACCATCTTCTATAATCTGGCTTCACTGGCCTAGGAGGTATGGGGACCCTGGGGGGAACCTCAGGTTTGTCTTCATCGGAGTTCGGAGAAGCTCTCTGTGTGTAGCTGGATATCCTTATGGCTGGCTTGTTAAAGGATCCAGCTGGTCCTGAATGCGACCTCCTTAACCTTCGGTGGGTCTGAGGAGGAGGAGGATCTGAAGTTTGCACATCTCCATTCTGGTCAGGTGCCTGGTTGAGATCTGCTGCAGAAACAGCTGGGGTATCAAAATACGCATAGTTGATCTGTCCACACCCACGGAAGCTTCGCCGGCCAGGAAGGTCGTATTTGAAGTCAGAAAGTGTACAGTCTTCTAAAAGGAAGTCTGTATCTGAGCTAGTCAGGAATTCGACCTCACAGTCTGTCTCATCCAGAGAGAGGTCTTCAGAGATCGGCAGTGGTGGAAGGGGCCTAGAGCCCCGTTCACAGAGAGCTGCACAGGGGAAAAGGGCAGGTGAGTTTTTTATGGGTGTGAGTGGAGGAGTAGAAGCACAAACCCCATTCACTGAGAGTTTCTTAAAACCACATACAACTTGATCCTCTTCGTGTTGTCCCAAGTTTTCACTTGGGGGAATAATAAGAGGGGGCAAGCTGGACTTCTGAGAGGGACAATTTTTTGCAAAGTGGTTGCCATTCATCGGAGCAGATTTTGAAGTGTGTCCTGGAATGAACAAGAAAGGTTAATAAAAGATCAACAATGCTCTCTCTACCCATGTGAGGCAGAGCCCCAGCCACCTGGGCTCCCACAGCTTTCTACCTCAACTGTTAGGGAAGTACTCGACAGCTATAACCCTGAGAACAGCCACGCAACACCACAGGTCTAATTAGGGACCAGAAGATTGTTAATGCACATGATCTGGTTCAAAGAACAAATTATCTCTTCTATCTCCCTTGGACATGTGCATGGCGCACACCCACACATCTCAGGCTGGTTTTGTGAGGTGTGCAAAATTTGCAAAAAAAGAACAGCATATAATTTACATGAATACCATTCTACACCAGCCTAGGAATTTAAGAGATGCGACAATACAAGGCTTGGATGGCATGGATAAGACCAACTCCTCACTGTTAGAGCTATGATTTTACTGTGAGTGAATGGACTTGCTGGCAATGTGATAAGTAGCTCTTGACAAAAATCTAAGGAACACAATGTTCACATTAAAGGTACTATGTAGTGTATCACACACTTTTCCTTTTTTTTTTTTGTGAGGAAGCTTGGCTATGAGCTAACACCCATTGCCAATCTTCCTCTTTTTACTGAGGAAGATTGGCCCTGAGCTAACATCTGTGCCCATCTTCCTCTATTTTATATATGGGATGCCTCCACAGCATGGCTTGATGAGCAGTGCGCAGGTCTGTGCCCGGGATCCAAACCTGTGAACCCAGGGGCACTGAAGCAGAGCGTGCAAACCCAACCACTACGCCACTGGGCTGGCCCTTCTAAGTTTTTATCGACATCTATACTACTTTATCGCTTTCAAACATGCATTCAATACTAGTGAAAAAGATGAGAGATCTTGTCCCAGTTTTCTAGAAGTTAAGTATGTACCATAGCTGGGATTAGAACTTAATTCTTGACTTTAAAAGATCCACCACAAATAGATCTCATTTGGAGTCAGTGAGTGACTCAGGATAAAGGCAGTACGGTGCGAGAGTTGGAGAACACGGTCATCTTCAGAATCTGCTGCCACTAGGGGTCAGACTATTGTTGGAAATAGTTCAGGTCGTTTCCTCATTTAAAAAATAATGCTGGAGGACAAGCTAACACAATCCAGACTGCCAACTTCCTGTCCAGGTGCTAACCTCACCGGGGTTTTCAGCACACATACCGAGAGATGTCAGGTGCTCCTGAGCAGTGGAGTTCAGACTGTAGGCCATGGTTATTGGGTCAATATTTAAAAAGTTACTGAAAGGAAAGGACAAACATCTTGGTCATAAACAAGTATCACCCACACTCTCTCATTTTCATACCACACACCGACAGACCGCAGCAGTGCTGTCTCCTGACTTACCTTTCAAACTCGCTGCGGGTGCCCCAGCAGGTCTTCATTTTCCCCATGGCTTGGCCATCATGCAGAAACCCAGGTTTTAATGGGACTCGAATCTCCTGAGCAGCAACCCCTGCTGTTGACATTGTGCCTGATTCTGGGATGTCTCCAAACTTGTGAAGCTGAGGGATTTGTAATCAACCAGTAGCTTTCATTCCCTAGAGGGGATAAAGAAGAGACAGGGGAATAAATTCAGAAACACCCATAAATAGCGAATATTAGAGAATTTTGGGGGATGCTGAATAGAAAACTTTAGTTATAGACTATCACTTAATTGTGACATTTTCACATTAACTAATTCTTACTTCTCATGAGGGTACTTAAATGTAGACATTAAACATAATTTTTTGGTAAATACTAATCCAAGATTTGAAATGTTTTCAGCAAAGTGAGAAGTAATGTATCGCCAGCGAAAGCAGACCTCCTGCTGCAGAGCCTGACAGCTGCACAACCAGCCCTGCTCCCCTGCCAGAGCACACACACTTCTCTAGCCTCCTGCTACACAACCGTCCATGGTGGCTGCACTGGGCATGGAGCTCACCTTTCCCCAAGCAAAAAAAAGCAATTTGAGAAATTACGGTATTTGATACTACAAAACTAGTCTTCACTAAAACCTCAAACTTCGATTAAACCAGAGATTCTCAAGTTGGCACCTGATTACCCCACAGCCTAGCATCTATTTGGATTCTGTATTTCAGGGTTAGCCAAGGGAAGGCAAATTCTCCAGTTATTACTTGTTCAAGAATAAAGAAATAGTTACATATGAAGATACTAATTTCCATTATCTTGTAAAAATCAAGTTCTGCAAGATTACTAGCTTCAGCGGAGGCCGGGAAAGCTTCCTCCTCCCTTTTAAAGACAAACTTAAAGGTACATTCTTCACATTCTCCTTTCCAAAGGGCCTAGTAACTAGCGTCTTGCCTAGCTGCAAGGCGTGGATTACAAAGGCTAAGTACAATTTTTCTTAATCTAGTAGTTCCTCAACTTTAGGGACCCTGCACCCCTCAGATGTTACATGTCTGCAGTCTCCAGTCCCCAAAGCCTCTTTTTATTACTCATTATAGCATCAATGTTCACGTTACTGTCTTACTTAATGCCAACCTCTGCTCTGTCTTCAGACACTCACATTTGCTTAGAGTAAGTTTAGGACATAATTTATCAACTACCCGTGTAACGCTGACCCCCTCTGCGACGTGTACATTTACACTTTCTCACTCTCTCACCAAATATCTGCACACCTACCGGGAGCTGAGTCCTGTGCGAGGACTGAGGATGACACCAAGGTGACTAAGACGTGTGCGCTGGGGGCGGGCACACAGGTTAGTTTTCGTTTTATGGACAAATCTGTCACTTCCTACTAGACCGTGAGCTCAGGAAAGAGGCTGTGTTCCAATCATTAATCATCACTCCCTGGGAGATTAGCAGCTGCTCAATAAGTGGATGTTTGTACAATACCACATTATTATTATATGTGCATATATTATAATATATATTATATATGGTAAAATTATCATCAGTATCAACTGAATGCATACAATGTGCAAGGCATAGGGGTTTTTTAGCTAAATATCTGAAAAAAATATTCTGCAAGTATTTATTATTCATTTTTTTTTTTTTTTACCTAAGAAGGAATGGAGAGATAGTAATGTTTCAGTGACAAAGTAAGGAGGCTGGGTCCCAATGGCTGACTCCCTCTGGAAGTTGGCTGTTTCCATACACTAGCCAGAGATTTAAATAGGTTTAAAATATCATTTCAAATAGTCAAGCCTTAGTTTTCTTTAATAGTCTCTCAAAGATATGTGATTAAGAAGAGTTTTTGGGAAAAAAACATCATTTAAGAAATCTAAGTTATTGGAAGGTCTTTTTTTTTTTGAGGGTTGATTTTTAGATTACTGAAATGAAGCAGATGTGTTTTTACTTTACCTGAATCAAGTGAAGCTATAAAAAAATTTAAAAACCAATTTTTAGAAGAACTTGCTGGGCACCCCCTCTCTGTCCCCAGCCCGGTGGCTCACGGTGCCTTTTCTGAGCGCAGCGCAGGCAGTGGCAAGACCATAGGGAAAGCAGCTCTGGTAACACAAAAATGAAAGGCCAGATAGGAAGAAGAATATGGTATTTAAGCAGTTTGAAAGCACACGTTTGAAGATCGCTCATCCAGATTACAGGAAAACGCTGCGGGGGATTCTGGAGGCCCAACCCCCACCTGTCTGCAGGCCAACAAGTCCTACTAGTAATTACTGTGTGTCAGCCTCCTAACGCCATCTAAACCTTAGCTTTCAACAGAAGGATTGTGTAACTATCGCCTCTGCCGAAATTGTCTTGGAATTCTAAACTTACATTTCAATGGTCCCTTAAAATTATTTTTATGTTCTAGAAAAAGTTATTTTTTATTCATTGTTTCCATCACCTACTTGTTAGCTTTCTTAAGAAAAAAATTTTTTTAGTATAAAAAGAATTGTGTTCACTAAGCCAGCTCACTTCTGACCACAATAGTGTCTTTGTGTATTCATAGAAGGTGACCTGCCTCTAAATTTCAATGGGGAATTGTGAATGGGCCATGTTATGAAACTGTCCCAACTTCCTACTTGCTTGCATGGGAGAAGCGAGGAGAGCAATATAATTGCATGTTCTCTTCTTTTGGAAAATAACTTCAAACTGTGGACTCAAAAAGGGCCACCTGCCATAGATTTGGCAGCACACTGTTTAAACCTGTTCCTCAGATTGTAAACTGAGGGTATGAAACCACCTTAAATTCTTTTACACCTCTCTCAAAACTCTAAGTATCCAACAGATATACCCCTTGGGGGGGGAAAATAAATCAATGTGGTCAACCTCAAGTTAAAAGAAATACATGGCTCAAGTGAAATGTAACTAACCCTGCAGTGCTTCACATTTCGTTTCCTTATGACTGTAAAACTAGCTCTGCCTTACAATTCACTAAGAAAACCATGGCAAAAGCACACCTACGTGGGAAAATCAGCACCTGTAAGTCCCAGACGGCCTTCTGTTATGCAACGCAAAGATATGCAAGCCAGTGTTAATCCAGGCAGCACGGTATAGACCAGGATCTAAATAACCTTGGGCAGAGTAACTTTTGGAAAACTCACGAACTCATCTTTAGCCTTTTGCCAAAAATGCACTTAAACACCAAACCCAGATATGAACTACTTTTTCCTGTTAACATCGCTTGATTTTTTTTAATCCAAGAAAAAAAATTAACCCCTAAAACCTTTTGTTTCTTGAAGCTGTCCTTTTATTTTCTCTCCTTACAAACTCTGCCCCTACCCCACACCTCCCCCTGAGTTCTGATCCACTTCCATAGCTTCACCTCGACACAGACGGCTCTGGAATCCTGACTGCAGCCCTGGCTCAAGCTTCCTCTGTGCGCTTCCCATTGTCTGATGACTATCTTTCCACTTGGATGGTCCTCCGGCATCTGGAACTCTACAAACCAAACTGCTCCTGTCACTTACTTCACATGCCATCCCCCTTCCCAAGCTGGTTCACGGTCTAAGAGGAGCATACTTCTCCTAAAGGCACCATTTTAACCTGAGTTAAGCCCATATACAGTCAATTACCAAGTTCCATGGCCTGTCTGTACATTGTTTCTCAAATCTCTCCTCCTTCTGTGCACTGGCACCCTTCTTTCTGCCTTGAGTCTGAAAATACCCACTCCATCCCACACACCAGCACCAGATCGAGATTCCTGGACTACGGCTCAAATTAAGACCTTCCACTGCTCAAAGATCTTTACAGGCTTCTAACTAAAAGCTCCTCTGTCTGGCTTTGACGGCCTCCACAACAAAGTCCCAATCTACCTTTTTTAAGCTCTTGCTTCTCTTTTCTCAAAACCTGTTAGAATTCAACTCATCCTTTAGGGCCATCTCTTACCCCTTTTCTCCACAAACCCACTCCCTTCTGGAAAGCCAGAGCGGCGTCTCTATGTTCTTGGGTTATTCTGTGCTATACCGGCTTCCTCCCCCATCCTCCAAATCTTCTAGGACAGGACTTGTTTTTTCCCTGGGTAGATCCTGGTATCATTCATTTCTAATAAATATTTACTAAATGGATATTGAGAAAATAATCATCTCATTTTCTAAAAAGTAATTACTTGAAAGATTCATATATACTGTAAATCAGTGAAGAATTCAGGACAAAGCAAAGGTTTTGTAAGGGACAAACAACGTGTGCTGAGATTGCCGAATAATAATCTAACGAGTTTAGGATATGTAGCAGGCAAGGAATTTTCATTCAATTCATTTCCAAAATCCAAAGTGGACAGTTTGCAGACTGGGTAAAAACTATAAACTTAAATGGTTAACAATGTGACTTTCTAAATTGGTTCCTATTACTGTATGTTTACTTAAAGCAACCAGGAAAGTGCTTTCTGAAAACAATGAATTTCATCTTCTCTTACACACTATTCCTGCTGGACGATAACGCATCTACTATGTTTTTGCTGCTATATTTAAGGTCACTTTCCTTAAAGAAAGAAAAAAAGCAAGCTACACCAAAAAGCACACTGCACATTCTTTAAGAAGGTAAAATCACACACCTTTACCTTGAGGATAGTCTCTTTGAAACGTTTTTTAAAAAAACAGGCTGCCTTAAGACAGTAACCTAGATATGCTTACCTTGCCACCAGATCTCATTAATAAATCTCAGAAGCAATCCACAGGAGGAGGAGGGGCACATTTTTGTCATACAACTCATCCAGCTCTGCCCAGTGCTTCCTTATTTAAGAGTGTGATGTAATTTCCTTCTTTCAATCTGGTTTTAGAACCTGATTTCTGTTTATTCAGAGTGATAAATGGTCTTTTCAGCTGCATTTAATAATTACCTACATAACTATTTCCATACCCAGGGAGATATAAGGTAACTATATTTAGAGCCAAAATTTGTAAAAACAAACTGATTTAGGAACATGACAAATTCCATGATTTTAGATCCTCCCCAAATAAACCAACATCTGCATGTTTATCTTCATTTTGAAAATGTCTAAAATAATCAGCCTTGAGAAAATGAAAAACAAGACCAAACCCCACCATTTTTATTGTGATTAGAGTCTAAAGCACTAGTAGCCAAGCTGACACACTAACATTCAGTTTAGCTGTTTCACACAATTTTAATTTTTATTAATGATGAGAAAACTTACTGAATTGATATTCACCTAACAGTCACTGTTTATGATAGA